CCCCTGCAGCGAGGCGGCGCGAAAGGTGCTGCCGAATCTCAAGGGGAAGGTCAAAGGATCGAAGACCCAGGGCGTGAGCTTGCGGTCGGACGTTTCTCTGTCTTGGAGGGGCGTCGCAATGGCAGCGCTGTGGGCATTGGATTCGTTTGCGTGGCTTGGGGATCGCTCTCGCTTCTTCGCCTTCTTCGTGTACCCCCTGTAGTCTATCCTCCGTTGTGGGTCATAGAGGTGCTTACGTGGGTAGTCGTGTACGTTCTGGACATCGACTTCGCGGCTGGCCTAGCCCTCCCCGAAGGGGCCCCCGGTCGGCCGTCGGCCGTCGGATCGGCGCCGCCAGCGGTGTGGTAGAAAAAACTCACCCTGCTCCTCCTCCTCCTCCTCGCCCTCCCCCTCCCCCTCCCCCTCTCCCTCCTCCCCCTCCTCCTCCCTCTCCTCTTCCTCCTCCTCCTCCACTGAAAGGGAATGTCAGAGCACGTAGCATGAGAGAGCGGCCGGCCGGCCAGCAAGTTGCAGTGCTCCGTCCCCTTCCCTCCCTCTCCCCCCCGCGCGCGTCCACAGCCATTTTAGCTAGGCACGCGCGCCTCCATATCATACAGTACCGTGCATTCACATGCCATGGATAAACGTATTATCGTTGTCATCCTATTCATCGTCCACGTCTTCATCGACGTCTTCTTGTGCCAGTTGGCCGCCCTACCAGCTGGCTTTCCAGCTGGTAGCGGAGCCGTCTCGATGACGGACCGCCGGGCTGAGCCCAATGCACGTCTTGCTCGCGGGATGCGACAAGGCGTAACCGCAGAACCAGTCTCACACCGCAGTCGCTGGATACGACGCGGCCCAGCACGCCATGCTCGCGAGACGCGACGTGACGTAACCGCAGAACCACCACACCAGGCTCGCGAGATGCGACTTGGGACCACTACGGCCACATCTACCACGACACTATCGAGTACACCTGCCGCGGCACAAGTTTCGACAACAACGGCAACTACAGCAAGTACCATAATTACCACTACAACAACTACCAGTGGAACGATTCCAGGTGCGAGCAGGTACTTGGGAGAGACTGGGGTCGGTACCCAGCCTCATCTTACCTCTCCAGCAGGCGTTGGGATCGGTACCCGACCGCCTAAGGATCTGGTGGGCTCTGGGGTCGGAGCCCAGACAATCCAAACGCCACAAACTACTGGGGTCGGAACCCAGACCGAGCACAACAGTGAGTCCGGGGTCGGTACCCGGCGCAACATCATCCATTTTATAAAGGACCACATTATGATGATCAATTTTGTGGTGTTGTTCTTCATGTTTGCCTCCATTGTTGCGTACATGTACAACGACATGCGGGAAAGCAGGGGCCCACCAATCTGGGGCCCACACATGCAGGACAGGTACCCATTTCGTGATTGGACGCGCGACGTGATGCTTTGGAGCATTCGGGAAGACATGCCCGAGGCTCGCAAGGCAGCGCGGGTTGCAACGAATCTACGCGGAGGCGCGAAGAACCTGATGAACACCATGCCGCCGCAGGCCTTCATACACGGTGGGCAAATCAATGGCGTACAAGTTGGTGCAATGACGTTTGTGTTGCATTCATTGTCAGAGCGGTACGGCCCACTAGGAGAAGAAACGCGGATGAAGGCCAGCAAGGCCCTCCTCCGATTCCAAGCCGAACCTCGGGAGAAAATCGACGATTTGCTAACGAGATTCGACATCGTACGACACCGCGCTGAACACGAAGGGGGTCTCGGGATCAACATCCAGACGACCGCCGAGATCTTGTTGCAGGCGTGCATGTTGAGCGAAGAGCAGTTGTTGCGTCTCTTGGAACCCACCAACGGCCTGACACCGTCCACAGAGCAACAATACGTTGAACTTTGCACTCGTTTACGTCGCATGGGTCATATCGTGGAGGGATCTCCTGATAATACTGCTTCCCAGCTCCGGAATGACAGGGGGCGCTCGCACACGTATTTTGGAGCACAAGGCGCCAACCCTCCACGAGCGCAGCACGAACAACAAGATGAACCGAACATGACTTACATGATGAATGGGTCCGCGTACCAGGAGCAAGATCCGTTCACGCTCACAGAACACACGTACTACGGCGACGGCAACGACGACGAACTGGACAGCGGCACGGATTCGGACACGGTAAGTAGTTTGGGTGACACTCCACACCCTGAACCTACCGGCCCTCCAGAACGCCATGGACAAGACATCTTTTGGGCCTACCAAATGGCCAAATCCAGGTGGCGCCAGTACGCTGGCAAAGCCACCAGAAGAGTGCGCCGTTTCGTTAGGAAGAAAGGAAAAGGGAAGGGCAAAGGAAAACTGCCAAACCATGGCAAGACGTCTGTAAACGCATTTCTCGCCAATGCCCATCATGCGGGCAATCTCGGCAGCATCTTCCTGAGCAAGGGCAAAGGCAAGGGGAAACACTCAAAAAGCAGCGGTCTCGGTTTCGGCCGCCGCAAGAACCCAAAAGACCGCAATGGAGTGACCATGAAGTGCCATGGATGCGGCAGCGACGAACACCTAGTCAAGGACTGCCCGCGCCAGTCTTCCCCGACGTTGTTGACAGGACCGCCACAACGGAGTGGCGGCGCCGTGGGCTACGGCGGCAGCAGCGGCAGCGGGGCGAACAACTGGCACGGCTTGGTTGAGGGATCGGTACCCTCTCCACCTCCACCCGTCGACTTCGAAAACGGCCCGTTGGCAGGCCTCATCCCTGAGGTCAGCAGCGCAGCAACCCACGTGTTGATGATCGGACCTGCGACGACCCCGCAGGGCTCGGACCAGTCAGAAGGCTACGAGTCGGCAACTTCGCAACAAGGCTTCGCAGGCAGCCCTGGGGCAGCGTCTGCCAGCGCTGCTGCTCCAGCTGCGCGCCCAGGGCCGCGCGCGCAACCCGTCCAGGCACCGAACATCGCCCGAGCAGGCGACCTCTCGTATGCCGTGATCCCAGGCGCACAGGTCGTCCAGACGATCCCTGCCGCTCCACAGGTCGATCTGCCCAGCTTCACACAGCACGAGTCCTTCTCCTACTTGCTCGCCGGCGAAGGGAGGCCTTTCCAGGCCAGCGATCAGCTTACTCCTCTCTGGAGCGGCGCCACTGGTGGATTCGCACCCTCAACCTTGGACCCTGGACAACGCGAGGCCACCGTTCACCAGCACGAGGTGGAGACTTGGATGGCCACGCCAGGGTGGGAACGCCCAGCTCCCGCAGTTGGCCTCGCCGCAGCGCCGATGCGGAACATGAGCGATGAGCAGGAGCAGATGCTGAGCTGCTTGAGGATGGTGCAGGAGTACGCTGAGGAGCAGAGGAGGATCAAGGAGATGAAGGGTAGGAGGAGGCCCCCACGCCCAACTGACCCGCTACCAGACATGCCGGCAGAGTTGGCATCGATGCAGGATAATTTGCGAGCTCGCCAGTCCCTCGGCCAGGACTACCTTGGTGATAACTCGCAGTGCTCTTTCTGCTTGATGGATTTCGGGCACGGGGAGGTCGTGACTCGTCTTACCTGCAGGCACCTCTTCCACAGCGAGTGTTTGCAGGACTATGCTGCCGACGGCCAGCGTCGCACGCAAGAGGCGCGCAGGAATGGCGTGGAACCACCAAATCCCGAATGCCCGAACTGCCGCGGATCAGCCAGGATTGCATCCAGGTTCAGGTTCATCTGCCCACAGGAGTCCACTACCTCAGCAGCCTCATCGGGGCCAGCTCCACGACCAGGCGGAGCAGCTCCGACATTGCCATGGACGCCAGCCGGGGGCGTCCCACAGCCACGAGGATACTATCATGCCAAGACCGCGTTGGCGAACGGAGCGCCTGCGCTCCTCGTAGACATCGGCGCATGGACGAACGTCGGAGGCGCCGATCGTGGCCGCGAGGCGGCTCAAGCAGCCCTCAACGCAGGATACGAGCCGAAACAAACTAAATTGGACTGCCCCCTGGAGATTCAAGGTGTCGGCCACGGCACGCAGAAGGGCGAGTGCAAGGCCACCGTCCCCGTAGCGCTCATGACGGAAGATGGCAGCGCCACGATGTTCAATTACGAGGTGCCCCTCATCGACAAGAGCCCCAAGAACGGCATGGGCCACCAGCTCCCATTGATTGTAGGCCTCAGGTCGTTGAAGGACAAGCGTGCTGTCCTTGAGCTCGAGGACGGCAAGGAGATGATGACCTTTCCGGGCCCTGGAGGCTATACTATCCAGTGGAGCCCCGGCACGGTGAGGATCCCTATGGAGCAGGGGCTGTCTGGACATTTGATGGTAGGTTGCTCACAATACGATAAACTTCCCAAAGCAAAGGGCGGCGTCGAGACGGCCGCCCCCACGCTGCACGTCGTGCCAGGACAGGAACAGACGACAACAACACCACCAGCACCTCGGCGGGATCGGCCCCCGCAGAGTACAACCCAGCACCATTGACTAGGGACAGGCGGCAAGACGCCCTCAAAGGCCGCTTGTTCGCAGACAGAAGGCTTAGGCAATCCGCCTACAACTGGCGGTGGCAACCTTGACGCCATCAGTTAGACTATTGTTATTGAGACGGAATGTGGTATCAGCACTGTGCTCACTTCTTTGGGCTACCGCGTGCAACGTCACAGCCACATGGCCGTCAACACAGGCAGTGCTGGCGACATCTCCAGCATGATCAAGGGTAACAAGATCAACCTCTTCATTTCGCAATGCCCAATATTGGGATTCAACGTACCTCAGCACAAATGGCATTCCCACATCACACAGTTGCTGAATTGGGCTAGGCTGTGCAAGCAAAATGCTGTACGGTACCTCATCTTGGGCTTCCAGGGCAGAAAGTGGGACGACCCTCAAATCCAGAGCGCTATCGCGGATGGGACGTTGCAGTGTTCTTACCACAGGCTTTGTTACATGGGTATCAAGGTCGATCCTGGTGCAACGCGTCCAAGCCGTACTTGTGTTCGCGTTGCTTCCACCATGCATTTACCAAGCCACTCATGTAGATGCACCGTCAAGCAAAACGAACATACGAACGACATCATGACGAAGGCGTCTAGCACTATGTCTCGGCACAAAACCACTGCATTAGTCAGGGCAGCAAAATACATCCTCGAGAAGATGCTCAACAGGCAGGGTACCTGCGCTGGCTCTTCCCCTCCCGACTCTGCACCTCCATCTTCAACTCGATTTCCGATGCGCTCTCAATATTATGGAGCGCCCGACTCTGAAGCAGAACCAGCTAGGAAATCCAGTGGTGCAGCGTACCTTCCTTCATCAGTTTCTCCTCTATCATCTTGGCCTCCACCGCCCGCGCTCGCGTACCCCACAGAGGAGCGCGTCAGACAGAAAGCACGACTACAAGCAATGAAAGAACGCGGAGAAACACCAAACAAACGAAAATTCACCATCGAAGCGCACTACGACGACTGCGGCGAAGACCTCCGTGGTCTCGGCGCTGACTATGCCGCCCTGGGAGCGGATTGCGTGGTCGAGCTCTGCGACTATGGCGGCAGCTCTTACTCTACGACGGTGGATTGGCACCACCTTGGCAGTGCGCCATCAAAATCCTCCTCATCCCCTTTTTCATCATCATCTTCACCGCCATCGCACCTGCACGCGCACGACAGTCTACACGTCAGCAAATCGTACGTTACGACGGTGGATTGGCACCACCTTGGCAGTGCGCCATCAACATCCTCCGCATCCCCTTCTTCATCATCATCTCCACCGCCATCGCACCTGCACGCGCGCGACAGTCTACACGTCAGCAAATCGTACGTTACGACGGTGGATCGGCACCACCCTGGTTACACGCAGCGCGTTACGACGGTGGATCGGCACCACCCTGGCGACGAACAGCATGTTACGACGGCGGATCGGCACCGCCGCAGCCGGGTGGGCGCCGGCGTGTCGCACGCAGTTGCTGCGACGTATTCGACCTACGACGCAGACGACCTCTTCGAGGCGCATGCGGAATCCGCATCGTTAGCGCTGTGGTTCCTGAAGGGGCCCGAGGGGGAAGCGACGGACTTTCAGCATCCCCGTCCAAACCTCCGAGTACGCAGTAGTTTCGAGGAGTTCGTATTCTTGCCCCTTCAACATGATGACCGGGACGACCTAGTAGAATTCTGTGGAGGTCAGGCGCGTGTCTCTGCAGTTTGTGCCCGCAGACGCCTTCCTTCAGGTGAGTTTTTCGACGTGCTGACGGGGGTGGAGCTGGATTGCGCCAAGGACCAGGAGCTTGCCATGCAGTGCTTGCGTGAGCGACGCCCCATTGTCGCGATCATCAGCTCATGCTGGCGCGCATCTTCTACAGCATCCACTTCACATGGTATATTCTGTGGCCGCGTTGCGTTATACCAGCTTCAACGACGACAAACGCACGACGACGACAGTTCGTTCTTGATTGGGCAGCCTGGCACCACCACATTGTGCGACGAGCTACCTTGGCCAACAGTGTTGGCTGACGCATCCGTTAACACACTTCTTATTCACCAGAGTGTTACAGGAGCAGTGGGACAGTCTGAATTGCCCGTCCAGAGCATCCAGAAGATTACTAAGATGACGTCCAACGAGGTTTTGTTACTACGCCCTCTGGTATCTTTTCAATGCGACGGGGAACACGAGCACGACACGCCCACAGGAGAATTCAACGCGGAGGGGCCAGAGCTGCACCCGCACAAACGGAACCAACACCACACGGACGAGCCAGAGCTGCACCCGCACAAGCGGAACCAACACCACAACCCCCCGGTTAAGACACCGCGCAACCATCGACTATGGCCGTGGACCCTGGCCAGCACCATCAGCGATGCCATTGTATTGGTGGTGCGGCGAGCGAGGCAGAGGTCCGCAGGCACACGCCATCACTTCGAACATACGTTTCCAGCATCTTCGGCGGAAGCGGCAGGCTACTGCCCTGGTTGCAGGGGCAATCGTGTTAAGACGGATCCGAAGCACAACCGAGTACCTGGTCAATGCCGCTTTCCCGAAGTGGCAACTAAGGAGTACAGTTGTTTAGGATGCAAGCAGAGGCAACCCTTTGAGCACAGCAACCACACGTACATGCCTGGAGAGTGCAGATGCGGCCCTGGGGAAGACTTGGAAGGCGCAGACCGACGCTTTTTGGGCCATCGTCGTCAAGGCACGGCACCCCGGGAGCCATATGCCAGGCCAGCCTCGAGTCCAGTTGCCGACGCTCAGCCGCAGCTGGCCGACGGCACCGACCTCGCAGCAGACGACGAACAACAAGCTCGCAACACAGAGGCCATGAGCAGGGAGGACAGAGTGCCAGATGCAGGATCGGCCCCTGCGCTGGCCCCATCGGGATCGGCACCCGCATCGTCCTCAGCGGGATCGGCACCCGCAGCCGCACCAGAATCTGGACTGGCCCGAGCGGGATCGGAACCCGCTGACGTCAGACGAGCACGAGACGTCCCTCGACCACCACAGCACCAAAGAGCACGGTACCCAGAGCAAGCCGACGGCCCAGAGAGGCCACGCGATTGGACTCGATTCGACATTGGATCCAGCCTGGCCGTGTTACGGCACGGCTCCCACGCAGCATGCCTTAGGGAGTTACGTAAACTACATTTGCGGTGGTGGCATATTAAACAAAAGCCTTTCCACGACATATTGGCGGCAGTAGGGTTACCACAGAAAATCTTAGACATGAGCGCCGACGTCGTTAAGACGTGCCGAGAGTGCCGCCAGTGGGAGGAGCCCGGCGACGCTACGCAGACAACGAGTTTTCTTGCAGATCGTTTTAACCAGCGCGTTGAGAGCGACATCCTCTTCGTCCTCCAGTTCATGATTTACCATTTGGTTGATAAATGTTGTAGGTTTCATGCAGGTGAGGTTGTGGACGACAAGACTGAAGCCACCTTGCTATCAGCACTTTGGACAGCATGGATTGGCATCCACGGCCCCATGGAGCAACTTGTTATTGACGGGGAGGGTGGTCTCAACAGCGACCGGGCCAAGGCCACACTCAAGGCTGAGGGCATTGAGTTAATCACCGGAGCTCCTGGGCAGCATGCCCACACAGCAGAACGATCTGGCCAGATGCTCCGGCTCGTGATCCATATGATTGTGGAGCAGATGGTCAAGGAGGGCATCACCTTACCCATTAAGATCGTTGTGAGCCAGGCGTTTTTCGTCATGAACGCCATTTACGGCAAGAACGGCTGCACCTCTTACCAGTGCGTTTACGGCCGGCAGCCTCCTATGCTACCTCCGATCCCTGGCACGGGATCCACCGACAGCGCCGACGGACGCCAGGAACAGCGAGTCCGACAGATCGCGATCAACTCGTTCGTGCAGGCTTCCGCCTTGTCTCAGACGAGACGGGATCTGTCTGGCAAGTCAAGCAGCAGTGGGCAGGGCATGTACCAGCCAGGTGATTATGTAGACTATTACCGGCGGAGTGCCGACAAGGATACGTCTGGCTGGAGAGGCCCAGTTAAAGTCGTAGAGAACCAGCCTAACAAAGGAGGAGTAGTATGTCGTATCAACAACAGAGACCAGCCGTGTAGGTATCAGGACGTGCGCCACACTCTACACCTTATCTTCCTCACGCAGCAGGTGCACTTCAGCGACAAGGAAGACCACGTGCGATCGAAGATGCTTGCCATCGTGCTCACCCACGCCGAGGCCCTCCGGGGCACCCAGCAGCTTGTTGGAGCTATCTTCGACACGCAAACGTCACGATGGACTTCCTCAGCGGCCTTGCGACAGGACCGACGTCTCGCAGCTGCTTTGCATTACGTCGTTACGAACTTGTTTTGCTTAGAGCACGTCATGGCCGTCAGGTTGTCGCAAGGAGTGCAACGATTGTCGAAGTTAAATGGCGCAGATTTTTGTTACCTCTACGTTTGGTTACCTGGCGAGTTCGCGAATGTACACATCATTGAGCACGATGACGACAGGATCAACCTTCATCACATCATCGGCGACTCTTGGAAAGACTTCGTGTGCATCCAAGTTTTTCTTCACTGTGAAGGCGGGTGCTCTTTGGGACATGCTTTAAACGGTACTGTTACTGACGATTTGTTCCCTCGTGGCCCTCAGCACGACAGGAATCGTGAGCACTCTCGCGAGGAAGCGGGATCGGCGCCCGCACGGCGGATCGGCACCGCCACGGCCGGGTGGGCGCCGGCGCGTCGCACGACAGCGCTCGAGGTGATCCCCGAGGGCGACAGCGAGTCCGACACCACCACAGAGACTGAAGCACTTGCGGTACTCCACGCTCATTTCGAGACCAACTCAGATGGAAAGTACGATGATTCGTTACGTGAGGCTGCGTTTTACATCTACATGTATGGCGAGAGCGACCCATCGACATCGTCATCGTTATCATCATCGCCATGTGTAGCAGCATCCATGAATAGTTGCGTGATGGATGAACTTATTCATGTTCATTCTGCGCAAGTGTACCCAGCGTACTTCTCGCAAGAGGACGTCAGCACATACCAACACTACCTGACAGCAGGCTTGCCCGTGAGCGCATACATGACAGACACACGTATCGATCGTAGTGGTAATCTGGGTGTCGAGATGTATTTGTCAAAGGAGTTGTCCAAGCTTTCCGTAGACCACCCGTTCCGAGATGATGAGTTCGTTTCGATTCTGATCTACGTCGCCGGCCCATCGCGGAAGGCAGTGGTTACCGATCAGGACGTCTTGACGAAGGACGAGCTCAAGAAGTGCCACAAGGAGGTGCGAGCAGCCATCTTGGAGGAACTCAAGATATGGATATCTTACAAAGCTTTCGAACGTGCTCGGAGGACTCATGGTGGTCAAGTTGTTATGTCTAGTAGGTTTGTTGCCAAGTGGAAGTGGGTGCAGAAGGATGACGGCTCTTGGACGCGAATCATCAGGGTGAGGCTTTGCTTACGAGGCTTTGAAGATTACTTTGCGTACGAGCGAGAGAACTATTCTGGCACCGCTTCGCGGCAGTCCCAGCGCCTCATCAACAGTGAGACCGCGTGCAGGCCCACGTGGGTACTCGCCACGATAGACATTGAGAAGGCGTTTTTGCAGGGGTTGACCACGGCGGAGGTTGCAGCATGCACCGGCGAGGAGCAGGAGGTGACCTACTTCACCCTGCCGCCTGGGGCTGCGGCTGTTGGCCCTAAAGGCCGCAACTGGCACCAAGGGGGCCCCGCGTGCCTTCAGTCTCAAGCTCGCTGGGGTCACTAGGAGCCCACCTTTGAACTTGAAGCCTATCTCCAGAGACCCTGAGCTCGAGGTGGGGCACAATTCTGACGGTGAGCTCCACATCATGTGCGGCAAGCACGTGGACGACCTCAAGGTCGGAGGTGAGAGCCATATGGTGCAGAAGTTGCGTTCTTCCCTGGAGGCAGTGTTCGGCAAGCTCAAGTTTAGCCTCAAGACGTTTACCAACGTCGGTATCCGACACGTGCAACGCGACGACGGCACCGTCGAGACCGACCAGACCGAGCACGTGAACGCCATCCAGACCATCCCGCCTGAAGTTTACAGCGGGAAGCGTGGCGACGAGAAGTGCACTGAGCAGCAGATGTCTATGCTGTGGTCTTTGGTCGGTGCTCTTGGTTACGCTATGATTACTCAACTTCACATGCTTGTTTACGTAGTTTCTTTACAGAGACAGCAGCGTGATGCTTCGATTATTCACTTGCGTCGTGCCAACGCTCTTGTTCGTCATATGCAGCGGTACCCCCGGACGTTGCGATATAGAGCTATGCAGTGCAGCCGACAGCTGCAGGCATTCTCAGATAGTGTTTTCCGCAAGGAGGAGGACAAGGGTTACGGCATGAGGGGCGCGAATTTCCTCCGCGTTGGTGTTGACCCTTCTGGTGCACAAGTGTGTCATTTGATCGACGCCCAGTGCCGTAGCCATCGGCGCGTCACGCGGAACACGTTCAGCAGCGAGCTGTTTGCTGGTTGCGACGCCGTCGACGATCTCACGAGCCACGCCCTTGCTCTGCACGAGATCATCCAGGGGCCCCAATCGAAGCAGCATACTTTGACAATGTTTGAGAATGGACGCCAGATTTTCGATACCATTTTGGTGATCGATGCCATGTCTGTCTTCCAGGCGGCGTCCGCGATAGTCGTCAAGGAGCCTGCTGAGAAGGGCTTGCTGCCGCACCTGCAGTACCTGAGGGAGATGTTGGACATGAAGCAGCTGGGCGTGCTCCGGTGGGCAGACACCCGCGACATGAACAGCGATGGCCACACCAAAGGATGCATGCCCAGAGATGCAATTGTCTTGTCGATGGATGGTTACTTCAAGTACGACCACGAGTACAAGGACTTCGTCCCGAAGGTCCCGAACCAGCGGGACGCTCAGAGGCAGCAGCAGCAGGTTCGACAGCAGAAGACAGTTCATTTGGCCAAGTCTTACCGCGATCCGACTACTGGTGGGGATGGGAACCACCCGTATGCTCACGGGAGCAGGGGGAGCAGCTCTTCGTCTTCGACGGTACCGCGCCGACACTGGAGGCGAGCGACGCCAGCCAGCCTCGACAAAACGACTGCCGAGGCGGACCACAGCAGGCTTGAGCGTGATGAGCGTACAACGTCACCACCCGGCCGCCGAGCCTCCCAGAGCCGACGGCGAGCAGCGCCACGGAGCCGCAGCATCTCTCGCGCCCCTCTCCGGCCTCTTTCGGCACGGACCGCGCCGGCACGGAGCCGCAGCATTTCTCGGAGAGTGCATCGTGCTCCTCTGCAGCCTCTTCTGGCACGGATTGCGACGAGGAGCCGCAGTGTCAGGCGAGCACCGGCACGGAGTCGCAGTATTCCTCGTGCTTCTCTCCGGCCTCCAGCGGCACGGACGTCGACGCGGAGCAGGAGCATCCAGCGTCAAATGCGTCACGGGGACCAGGCGGACAAATCGTGCCCCCCCAGGAGCCGGACGCAACCTGGAGACACGGAGGCCTGGCGAGGTATCTTCGAGGACACGTATCGGAAGTATTGCCCAGACAAGCTCAAGGACATTGAGTTCTTGTTGCAGAAATACCACGGTCACGAGAAGGAGTGCCACCAGTGTATTCTCGTCAAGTACGCTGGGGAGACACGCGGCACCAAGCCGAACCACGAGTTGAAAGACAACCAGTGCAGGATCTGTCATGGGTACGGACACTGGGGACACGAGTGCCCAACTCGCAAGGCCAGTGTGGGCGCGACGGCAAAGGCCAGGGCCAGACCACCGTGGTATCAGGGCAGATGATTGCGAACTTTGACTTGATTTTTTTTGTTCTTGTCCAGGGCGCCATCCACGAGGCGAATCTGCAGACAGGTGCGCGGAAGACACTTCACGCGACTTCTCCTTCCCCGACTGAAAGGGAATGTCAGAGCACGTAGCATGAGAGAGCGGCCGGCCGGCCAGCAAGTTGCAGTGCTCCGTCCCCTTCCCTCCCTCTCCCCCCCGCGCGCGTCCACAGCCATTTTAGCTAGGCACGCGCGCCTCCATATCATGCAGTACCGTGCATTCACATGCCATGGATCAACGTGTTTTCGTTGTCATCCTATTCATCGTCCACGTCTTCATCGACGTCTTCTTGTGCCAGTTGGCCGCCCTACCAGCTGGCTTTCCAGCCCTCCTGCTCCTCCTCCTCCCCCTCCGACTCCTCCGACTCCTCCGACTACTCCGCGGGCATCGAGCCCCGCCGGCGACGAGAGGCTGGCGACGCTGAGCTACTCATGCAGAGGCATTAGAGAGCTTTTGGTATTCTTCAAGCAGATTCAGGTGAATGAGCGCTGATACTTCTTGGATGCGGTGACCTACAAGGAGATGTGGCTGCCCCCTGACAAGTTCAGAAATGCGTGACCCGTGCGTTGACAAATGGATAGCTGAGACTGAGACCGGGGAGGACTGCCAGGTTTTTCGAGCGCGAGGACCGATCGTCCAGACAGTGGTGAATTTTGGACACGGAGCGCGCGCAGACGACACGTTGCGCATGTGCCTGCACGAGGACGCAAAGAGTGCGAGTGCCCGCTTTGAGGAGCGGGGCCGCTCGCTCGATGCGCGCGTCAGCGTGCCGACAGGGTTCATGCAGCATGCCGATCAAAAAGAGGTCCTACTTCGAGCGTGCGGTCGGGGGCCCATCAGAGAATGCAGCAGTTCTACGGACAGCTGGGTGGTGCGCCCCCAAATCTGTCCACGGCATTTAGGTGTCTGGCGCCACTTCGACGGTCGCGAGACGTGGGGGGCTAAAAAATCGCAAGGATGCGAAAGCGGGCCGTGCCGCTGACCACGCAGATGGTTTTATTGCGAAGCGCGCAAGATTAGTCTTTTTGTGGGCAGATAAAACCAAGCAGTATGACTGGGGGTGACATTTCACGTGCTGTCTACACTACTTAACTATGAAGTGCGACGGCGTCTTCAAGTTCACACTGCCCAGCGTATCCTGAGATGCCGGGGGCTCCTCTGGCTTCATAAAGTGATTCGGTTTCCACGGGATTATGCTTTTCTGCTGGGGGTCCTGACCGGGAGGACGTGCGCGGTCGTGGTCAGTTGACTCGTCGTGGCAAGCCTCGGCATCGGTGTAACCCTTGGCTAGAACAATTCGGAGGTGATCTACGCGAACTCGGACGACGATATCGACCTGCCCAGGGCGCCGTTCGCGCTCGAGGTTGGTTTGCCCTTTTTGTCGAGCCCGCGAAGTTCGACCCCCCGAAGGATGCGGTGCCCATCGGAGAGCCTACCGCGAACTCCTGTTCCCGCGCTGCCTCGATCGACGCCCGAGCTGCTTAATTCTGAGTTTCGTGTGGACGACATGCCATGCACGCGCTCGCGCGCTACCATGAAACAACTTCGCGTGTGTGTGGGTATCAAGCTCACGGCCTTTGTGTTTGCATATTGACGTGCTCCGATTATGCATCGATGCCCCTGCCGTGACATTTATCCGCTAGCGTCGCAGACGCCAGGTTGCGCTGCCACGCCAGAACTCACCTGCCCACGTTGTGAGAGCATTTTTCCGGAGATTGGAGCTGCGCGCGCGTGCGATAACATTTCTAGGGGCAGGAGGATGGAGGAGCTACGGGCGGCCTTGGCGGACGAGGCGAGCCAGGCGAAGGAACGCCGTGCGGTCGGCGAGATCGGCGGCGACGGCCAGCTTCGGAAAGTGACGGTGGCGGCGGCGAAGACGGCGGTCGGACTGGATGTGCCTCTTCGCCGACCTCGGGGATGCCTGGAGACGGCGGCGCCCGTGCTCGAGACCCATTCCCTATTTGGAGGGCCTTCAGGGCGCGGGCAGAGAGTACGATGCCGAGCGCAAAAGGCACAGGGGGATAATCATTGCGACGCGATGAAAGAGAAGACGCCAACGCACTGGCGCCGTTGGATCTTTTTGAGTGCGCGATAGCGATGGACGAGGATGTGCTGACGAAGAAGAAGCCGAACCTCCTGGTGCACAGCAAGCAGTATACGTCCGTGCAGGGCCAGGTCTTGACTTGCTTGCAGCAGCAGTGCCATTGCCAGAAGCCGTGGACGGAGCATCGCTGGCGCATCAACCTGATGGTGGTACCCGAGTTACGGAGTATTCAGATGGAGGCACTGATGACCATCGGCATGCAAACAGACGTGGAGGTGAAACCGGGGGCGCCGACGAGTAACCCGAACGCGAGGTCCATAGTGAGCGCGGTGGTGGAGATTGGCGAGTACACGGCCCCGGCCCATGAATCGTGGGGCTACTCTCGCCGCCCGTTGCCGCCGCCTGCCCTTCCTCTTCGCCGCCTCCTCCTCCTCCTCCTCCTCCTCCTCCTCCTCCTCCCCGACCGAGTGCAGTCATGCTGACAGTAATGAGGGGCCCGAGGTGTCTAATGTTGTAGAGATGTTTCAGGACACGGCTTAAAAACGTTTGGCGAAATTCGAGGTCGAGGGTGGCTCTGCTTATGATCCGAGTGCCCCAGTGTCCAGTGGTGGTGAGGTTGACATCCAGCGACCGCATGTGTGTTGGCGTTCCGCCGTGCTTGATTTATGTCTTGACTGTCGCGCTGGGAGACAGCGGCTCTTGGGAGTTAAACTTG